CCTGATTCAGCATATGGCTGCTTTTAATATCCATACAAAAACRTAACAGGCTTAGAATGAAACTGGAGATGCTTAAATGCCAGTGCATATGACCAGGAAGCGTGACAGCTAATAACACTGCATGTCTTGCCCAGTGCAGTCCCCCCACACAGGATGTTTCCATCCAGTGGTGCTCTGCTTTTGTATTTCTAAGAGGTTGCAGAGGAATGCCTCTCTAGGCACTGATCATTAGTTGATTATCAAATGGATTACCCCATCCATTAACACATCCTGCAAGTAGGGGGAGTCACAAACGGAACAGTATAAAGAAAATCCTCTCCATGTCAGTAGATAAYCAATGACAAAAACAAGGCTTCTCTGATGGTGTAACTTCACATCATGGCAATCACCAGCTCTGACACAATGGCTTCCAACAATGTTCTTTTTTGCTGATTGTGRCAGTCCAAGATGGCTTTCAGAGTTTCCAGAGCATACATGTTACAGACTGAAATGCCTCTGGAAATGAGAAACAAAATCCTTCCCCTGCCCCATAGTCACTCAGTCTTTAGTTAAAAGGTGATTTTGCATCCTCCCTCTTTTGYTTTTCATCTTTATGGTGGTTTTCATTCAAAGCAGATATTACTAATGMCAACAAATTCTTCCTAAGAGTTTTGCTCAAACCTTCTCCAAAATTAATTTATCATCTCTGTCTTGCCCAGAGCCCTGGTTATTTTCTGTTACAATAGTTACAAATAGGTAATMATTTAAAAACAAAATTACTTTTAAAAAGCCTTGATTTTGTCTAATCATAACTTGCTATTGTATATTCTTGTACTTCTTTCAGCCTCTGTTTTCATGCAATGCACCATTCTTTAATATTCATTTAAAGAGACACATCACTGCTGTAAGAACAAAAGCTATAAACACAGCTATAAAAAAGAGTAACTAATCTTGGGCATGAGGTGCAGGAAGTCATAGGGACCAGACTGGCCTAAACCTTCATTTCAATGTAATTATGTATTTTATAAAGCCATCTAAGCTCAGAATGCATATTTTCTCAACTAATCTACAATCTTAGCTTGCATTGTCCCACATACAATTTTAAGTTTAGACATCATATCTCCTCATAACACAATCTTTAATGTATGAAAAGTACACCCTACAACTACTTTTAATCCCTGGTGAGCAAAACAATCAATATTTTGTAACAGACAATAAGTATCTAATAAGTGTGATGCATTTCTTGTTTTAAAGTAAAAATAGAGGACAAAGGGGATAAATGTGGCTATCACATAAATAAATATGTTATTAAAATAGTTATATTTATATAGACATAAAGTAACTCAGATATAATTACAATTACCGTGAASTGATAAAGAAAATACCTTCACAGCACTGAATTATTACTCTTGACTTCATATAGCAAAGAGTATTGCTACTGACATTTCTTGTCAAAGTRGTAAACTGGTATGTAACCAAAACGGTCATAATTTATAGATTCTTACAATGAGCAGGCAATTCAATTAATTTGTTGGACATCGCCCCCAGTTTGCTTCTGTTTAATCAGCTTCCCCTAGGCATTGCCACTACTGTTTTCTGCTTAAATTGAGCTATGAGCGTAATTCTTATGGAACACACATACCTGGTATTTAAAACCTATGAAATATCTTCAGGTCTGGTTCTTATATAAAAGAGGGGTCTTTGCAATTCCTTGGATAACAGAGAGAGGCYAAAGGATATGAGATTATGGTCTTGACTTTTTGAAGCTTTTTATCCAGTTCAGCTTTTCTGACTCTGATACAGGACATCTCTAGAGAAAGGTGTCTCTGCCTGTGGCAGAGGGTTGAAATGATCTTTAAGGTCACTTTCAATCCCAACCATTCCCAACATTTTGATTCTATGATTCTATGACATTATTTTTGTGTCACAACATTGYTTTCAGGCTATTGACTTTTGATTTTCTCTAAATGTTGTTTACTGCTATTGTGCTAACATGGAATCACTGCTTCCATCAAAATTAAAATGAAGTAGAAAATAAATAACTCCCAAATAGCACATATTTTTGTYCAAACCATGTCTGAATTCAATGAGCTGTGCAGAAATTTTATATGCCTTGAGCAAAATGAGTCACTTCTGCATTATTTTGTAGAGATGTACAGCCCCATYTTACTGACACTAACTGCTTCTATCAGAGAGACCCTTTACTTTTAGCTCCAGGTATGGTCACACATTGAGAATGTGAACCTCAAGTAATTGTCAGTGGCATTGCATCTCTTGTTGTTATGCACTTTATGGAATTTCACATTCAATCTGACAACAAAGCATCAATTTAGCTTCAGTGCTCCCTACAGAAATGGAGATGGCATTTTAGCAAATGATCAGCTTCAGCCTGTAATTACCTAAAGGGTAAACCACAGTAGTACACCTTGTGCTCGAGCAGAATTCTAGCAGTGCAAACAGCATCCTCAAAAGTTGCACTAAGCTTTTAAGACAGAAACCAAGCTAAAAAATCCCTCTTGGAGGATGAAATTAAAAAAAAAAAAATCCTCAGTATGGCAGCTTTGCTGAAGAAAGGTTTATTTCATACYGACTTGTATCTTCCCTGATCCATTTAGTCTCCGTAACAATGAAGACACAAGGAAGGCAACAGAAGTATTAGGAAAGCAACAGAATACACTTTTTAACTCCAAATTTGCAAATTTTGGAGAGGCTCAATTGTACAATCTGTTCTTATAAATTATACTGATCTAGAGTCATTGTAGCAAAGAAATTAGTTTTGGAATATCCTTTTGAATAATTTAAGCAAATGATCATCAAAACCCTGAAAACAGAGGTCTTTCAAACTTTGCAATAGTAAAATTGAAACTCCCTCAGATACTCCCAACAGTCTGGAGTATTACAAAGTTAATTATTGCAGTTGTTACACTGCAGAACAAGTTGAAGACCATGTACAAATTATTAATTACTACTGTATAAATTCATGTTGGGTAGGAAATTGCACAAATTTATTGAATCTTCCCAGACAACCCTGATTTACACTTTCAAATATTTCCAGGAAAAAAAAAAAGGAGGAATTATCTTACTTTGTTGATTACTGGTCTTACATAGAGCTGACCACACATGACAGGAAAGTTTCAGACTGATAATATACATGTTAGGATACGCTAATATGCAACATTACATGTAACACATTAAATAAGATACTCCAYTTTTGTGAGCATCTTACCAAACATCGGTATGGCAGGACTCAGCTATTTGTGTCAAACCTTGTATGAAATGAAAGAAAAAGTAAACTGGGGACAGCTGAAAAGTTATTTACTTTGCTTACTGGAATTCCCCTCCACTGGTGCTGTAAGTTGACCTGGGCCAGCAGCCAAGAACCCGCGCAGATGAACTCTCAGTTCCCCCTGCCCAGCGGGACTGAGGACAGGGTAGGGAGATCAAAAAAAGSCATGTGTCAAGATAAACATAATTTAATAACCAAATGAAGCAGAACTGGTCACTCGCCACCTCCCACAAGCACAGTGATAACCAGCAAATCTCGGATTAGTGGCCACCTGGGAAGAAGCCCACACCCTTCCATACTTCTTCATCTGTCCCCAGTTTGGAGTGCCAGGCATGGCAAGGGCTATCCMTTTAGTCGCAGGCAACTGTCCCAGCTCTGTCCCTTCCCAACCTCTCATGCAYCTCCAGCTTAGACACCGGGAACTGGGGCAGAGTGAAAAATGGAGAAAGCCTTGACATTGTGCAAGTAATGTACAGGAATAGACAAACTATTAGTATGGTATCAATATTCTTTTACCCACAATCAAAGATTTAGCATTGTACGGGCTGCTGTGGTGAAGACTAATTCCTTCCCAGCAAGGTCCAGTACAATGGCTTATGCAGTACTGGAGATTTTTTCATCAATTTAAGATAAGRCTTCTCCTTAAAAACCAAAAATAGTCCAATAATGACTTTACAAAAGCTATTTGCTGCAGAGCTGTTCAGACTTGGATGTTGACAGGAAAAGAACAATGCCATCAAAACAGGTAGACAGTGCCAATAAGAAATGTACTGCCATTACTGCAATTACAAAACTCTCACTGAAATGAACCAAAACCTTCTTAACTGGCATGAGATGGGAGAGCTTTGTACTCTGGCAACTGTTGAATATCAGGTGGGTGTACTGTCCATTTTGCAGTAAGGAAAGAGAGACAGTGTTTTRACACTGAAAATATTGCCTATATCCCACATTAGTGGTAAAATCAATTTACTATGGGGAAGAAGGAAGTGGACTTTTCCTGCTGCAAGCACTGCCCATCACGGGACACCACACTGTGTCACTCCACACAGTCATCACTGAAGAAGACCTGCCCACTCAGGCCTCACCCAAGGCCCTTCGTGCCACTCATCAGTACCGTATGACCCACATCAAGAGCAGTTGTCCCTGGGCAGTCCCTGGCAAAGGACAGTGACACTTTTGGGCTGTGTGGTCTCATCTACCAAGGGAATTGATTCCATCGCACAGGGTGCAGAAGTGGACTTGAAGAAAATCTTTCATTCAACCTAAGTGTCTGGGTACACTGGAGTCTCCTTCACAATTGAAGTCACTACAAATGTTTGATCAAAATACGGGAAGTTTTTTTTTGTGCGAAATCTAACAGGAAGAGTRATATTGTGTGATGGCAGGTGCCCTGGTTGCTCCCAAAAGAAACCCTCTAAGAGTCCTTTCCTCAGCGAAGTACACACAAAACATCAAAAGACACAGAACTTCAATATTCCGGAACATTCACCAAGTCACAACTCGTGTGCACACACTCGTTTTTCCCTCCTGAGAAGCCGGCTATTCGCACCCTTCCATCCTCTGTCCCCAGCGCGGCGCTGAGCAGCGACACGTCCCCCTCCCAAAGCCAGATGCCCACGAGGCAACGCCGCCGCTCCCAGAAATCCAGACCAGGGGTCCCAAAGAGAGCTGGCACCGCGGGGTCCCGGGGCCAGCCGCGTCAGCGACACCAAGGGACCCACGTCACAGCATCCCGAGCAGCCCGTGCCGCGGGCTCCGGAGGGGACGGACGGTCTGGAGCCACCAGACCGCGGGAGAGGCGACGCCGGCGGCTCCGGGGGCTGCAGCCGTGCCCGGCCGGACGCTGTGTCGCCGGGGCCGCCTCCCGAAAGAGGGGTCCAGGGGCACGGCCGCGCCCGCTGAAGAGGAGGGAGCGCTCGCCCACACCGCGCTGAGGAAGTGGCCGCCGCTACGAGCGAAAACGAGGAAGCGGCGGATCCGGCGGCGCTGAGAGGGTCCAGCCCCGCTCCCGGCCGCACCCCGGCTCGGCTCGGCACGGCACGGCTCGGCACGGCCGCCCGAGGGCTGCCTCCCTGCTGGCGGCGGGACAAGCGGTGGAGCCCAGTGACCCCAGGCAGCGGTGAGTAGCGGCCCCGGGCCGCCAGCACGGGCAGTGCGGAGGGCGGCCGGTCCGGAGCCACCGCCCCTTCCCCGCCAGCGCCGCGCCCGGGCCGGGGCCGTGGGGCCGGGCGGCGCTGCTGCCCCCGCGGCGGGATCGGGGTGTCGGGGCTGCGGCAGAAAGGAGCGCCGGAGCCTCAGCCGCGGGCGGGAGGAGGGTGAAGCGCTTGGGACACAGGAGAATCCTAAGGAGCAGTGGCAGAGAGGGGCACTTGTGTCGGAGCGGCCGGTACTTGCGCCTTGGCGAGGGAACGGGCGGCTGGAAACGCACCACCAGCCTGAAACCTTCCTGTATTGCAGTGCTTTGCAAAATAAATTCCGCTAGTCCAGCGGCTCAGGATTTTTAATCTAAAACTTAAGTGTAAAAGAAAAAGTGRTCTTGCATTACCTCGAGACATTATTGTGGCGGCAGGTTTTCAACAAAGCCCAGTGTACACAAAAGTAGGGTTACTGTCTGAACGGTGCATAGCCTGTGAAAGCTTTATGCCTGACAAAATATCTTTAAAAACCYGGGTTTTCTTACCAGACTTCCCTATTTTGTTTCCAAGAAAACAACTGTGGTTATTCTTTCACAAGAACTGCTGAAAGTAGTTCATTCTACAAGCYTGGTGCCAGAGTAAATCCTCTTCGTTTTGTGTTCTGCCAGCATTATTTGTCAGCACTGTACTACATGCACTGTATCTTGTAGCTGTCCTAGATTAGTTTGAAGTGTTGTTATTTTGGACAAAGTTAAACAATACTTTCGTTAGGTGAAACAATCTGTTAGAAGAGTGGCAAGTGAAGTCCCAGTCTGGCCAAGTTACATGGACTATTCTAATATAAATATTTAAAACAAATTTTAAACGAAATTATTCTTCTTTAGGGCAGTAACAGTTTATATTTTTTTTTTTTAAATGTTCTTTTCTTTTAGTTTTCTTTCATGCTCTTTTTATCCATGGTAGCTTAGATCTTCTGAGTCCTTGGGTTAAATCCACAGAGTAATCCATGGACATAGTCATCCCGTACAGACGCATACAGTTTCATCATGCAGAGCTTTGTGTTTTTACAAGCTTGAAGGCCATGGATTGTAGCAGTACAAATTGAGGCAGTCCACTTAGAGGAACTGCAACTTCTTTTTTTTTTTGGTTTTTTTTTTTTTTTTTTTTTCATCCCTCTGTTGAACATTGAGAGATAAATAAGGAAGTTTGAATGTTCTTTATATTGTGACAGTTATCTTATAGGGGAGAAAGATTATAGTCRTAGATATGTATATTGGAACTAAAGGTTTCAAAATCAGCTATGTTTCTTAAAAATTGGCTGAAATAGATAAAAGTATRTAATTGTTTTTGTTTTCACAATCACTTGAAATAACTGCAAAATGCCATAAGAATTTCTATTGACATGTTCTGGTTTTGTTTCAGTCAAAAAATATTAGTCCTCTGCCAAAGCAAGGGTGAACTGTATAGCTTTCCCTTTTGCACATTGTTGCAATTCTGATACAAGAGCAGAATTAGATCCGAAGTCACAGGAAGACAAAAAGAAACTTATTTTTAGAAGTAGCTAGTGGTTTATGTTGAACACTAAACAACAGTTTAGAAGACCAGTGGTGAAATTACAAGCTTATTTTAAGCACCTTTGAAGATACAAATGACAAAAAAAAAAAAAAGTCATTTTCTAGGTTGCTTATCCTTTCTTCTTTTGGATCTTTTATGACAGAAGTATTGGAAGTGGGAGAAATCACTTCTGAAATTTATGTTTTGGTCAGAAGTCATGGTCTCTCTATGATCATTTTCTCCTTTTTTTTTTTTTTTTTTCAATTTACACTTACATTTTTCCTTCCTAATCCTTTTTTCAAGATATAAAGAGTCAAAAAAACAATGAGTCTGTTGCCATTCCTGGTTTGAATACTGTGACTGTAAGAAATTCTTCTTGCATCTGGATCTACTGAAAATTCTAGGTAGTATSATCCTTTTTCCATCTTTGTAGACATTTGGATCAGTGCCTCAAGATCTGTTGTGCACACATTACACAGACTGTGCCAGAATCTGCCATCAGTTGAATGTGTCTAGCTCCAGAATAGAACAGCGGAAAAGGGGAACTTGTCGGGGTTTGTATCATAATTACAAGGAATACAGAAGTTATCAATGAATGTGAGTAAGAGTCACAGACAAATCATTCCAAAGGAGTCTTATAATCTGTTATTTTGTGGTTAACATAAACAGATACTTCAAAAAACTACTTTTTTTACTTCAGTGTAAACAAATGCTTAAGTGAGTTTGTTCACTGGGGCAAGAGCACTTGTACCACTCAATGTATCTGTTAAAAAGCTGAAGATGGACGTGCAGGTGTTTGTGGGTGTCATGAGTAAGGTTCAATGATAAGAATGAAAGCTTCATGTCTTGCAAGGATTTACAGTATCATCTTCTTAATTTCTTATTTAAGAAAAAATAAAATCTCACTTCATTGTAGGGAAACAATTTTGTAGTTTTAGCTTAGCAGTAGTTTTGCTTGCATTTGACAAAAAAAGAAAATTTTGGTGCAGGAGGAGAGGGCAGCTCACTTTATTTCTTAGCTGGCATTTGTAGAAATGCTTTTACAAAAATTGGTTCTTAATATCTGCACTACTTTTACAGAATAATATTATTAATTTCTGCAGTTGGTTTAAGCTTTTCAACCACTCATGTGAGAAAAAGGAACCTTGGGCATTGCAGTATCCTTCCCTAATCTTTTATGCAGTATAGAATATAATACACAATTATTAATATTTATTTGAGTCACAGTAAAATAATTTGATCACAAAGCTCTCAGTTAGTATTTGCACTTCATTTTAAGGTTCCAGCAGCTGATAAGGGTACATAGCTGATATTGTTTGGCTTTTAACTACATGACACAGCATAATGTGGAGGCATACAATTAAGAGGAAGAAAACATTTCCCTCTGACTTCTGCATTGCTTGTTGGGGTGATTGGAAAACATCAGCATTGCAAGTGCAAGAAGYGTGAAAGAGCCTGTGTGCTCCTGAACCAATAATAAACAATTCCAGGATTTGCTGTAGGAAACGGTAATTAATAAATAAACTTCATGTTTGACACAAAAATATCACCTGCCTCWAAGAAATAAAACACAATTTTGTAGTTTGTCTTTACATTCCAAGTTTAAAATTAGATTATAACTTCCTGTACCTTTGTGTACAGTGATTAAATGACCACTTCYCAAAAAGTGGCTTTTCTAAAAATGAAAGAAGGGGCAAAGATCACAGGGATTACAGGGATCCTAATGTAGTAAAGAGATTGGGACCAGTGCTACTTAATATCTTCATTAATGATACAGACAATGGGATCAAGTACACCCTTACAAAATTTTTAGATGACACCAAACTGTGATATGCYGTTGACACACTGAGGAATGGGATGTCACACAGAGGGACCTGGAAGAGCTCAAAAGCTGGGTCCATGGAAACCTCAGGAGATTTAACAAGTCCAAGTGTAAAATCCTGCACCTGGGTCAGAGCAACCCCCGGTCCCAGCACAGGCTGGGGATGGACAGATCAGAGCAGCCCTGTGGGAAGGACTTGGGGGTGTTGTGGGTGAGAGGCTGGACATGACCCGGCCATGGCACTGCCAGCCCAGAGAGCCAAACGTGTCCTGGGCTGCATCCAAAGCAGCGTGGGCAGCAGGGGAGGGAGGGGATTGTGCCCCTCTGCTCTGCTCTGCTCTGCTGRGACCCCACCTGGAACACTGCACCCAGCTCTGGGGGCCCAGCACAGGAGGGACAGGGACCTGTTGGAGTSAGTCCAGAGGAGGTCACCAAGATGATCAGATGGATGAAGCACTCTTCTGTGAGGAAAGACTGAGAGAATTTCGATTGCTCAGTGTGGAAAAGAGAGGGCTTTGGGATGACCTAATTGCAGCCTTCCGGTACCTGAAGGGATCCCAGAGTGTGTAGTGACATGACAAGGTAGAATGACTTAAAATTGAGTTTAGATTAGCTATGAGGTAGGATTTCCTTACTGTGAGAGTGTTGAAGCACTGGAATAGTTTGCCCAGGGAAGCTGTAGATGATATTTTTATATGAACTCATCCCTGGAAGTGTTCAAGGACAGGCTGGGKCTGGCTCCCCAGGATGGACCTCTGAGCAAATCTGGTCTAGTGAAAGGTTTTTCTCCCCATGACAGGAGGATTGAATCCAGTTGATCTTGAAGGTCCCCCCAACACAAGCCAGCCTATGATTCTATGATATGCTAAATACACCAAGACTTCTCTTTGTACAACTTGCCAGAGAAACTAATGAAAAATTAACATGTGCTAGAAGCTAATTAGCCAGCATACAGGAATACTATACAGATAGCTGGTCCAGTTTCACAATCACAGTGTGTAATAAACTGATGTTGGAATGTTCTGGTTCACCAGCTAGGACCACTCTTGTAATTTTTCCAGTTTTGTCCTCATTTGYTTTGAGACAGTGTTCTTCCAAACATAGGGATTTTCAGGTGTCTTGAATCGATAAAATGTCCAGAAATAATTCCAACAGCTTCTCTTTTCAAAATGGAAAACAGCAACAGAAGGAATCTTTCCACAMTGACAAGGCATAGAAGTAAGATGTGAGGTGCTAAAAGCTTTGATAAAGARGCAGGACTTTTGGGATGGTAGTATGTAGGTCTAGCCCTGTAAATCCCCGGGGCAATGTCTAGGCYAAGGGTGGAATTGAAATTGACAGAAAACATCATTGTGATTGGAGACAACTAGAGAAAACACATGCAGGAAATGTTAAAGGTAGGATATGTACCAAGGAAACAACAATTGCTTCAATATTTTAGTATCATATATCCTTATGTTAAACAAAAGATTCATTAAAATGGGTCAGGGGTTACCATTAAATGCATCAGCTACAGCTTATTCCTATCCTYTTGGATAGACTTTCTCTTACTTTTTCCCTCATTTGTATAAAATAATGAAATCAATTAATGGGAGGGGGAGGAGAAGA